TACGCATATAGTTTATGACCTGGAATGAGACATAGGATACTAGTTATCCCGGTAAGATGTTAGGTTCCCGAGGGATCCTCCAAAACCTTAAATGAACGTGGACTAAGTCGCGGCCGCTAGTTAATGAATAAATTCCTGCTTAGATGTTTAATGTGAAGAACGAAAAAAACCGTCATTTTTGTTATTACCAATTGTGGTTTTGTTTTAAATATGTGTTTAAAACTGTTACGGTTCCGTGGACGTTATGCGTATCAGTGTTGCAAGCATAAAAATAAAATTGCGCGTTTTAATGCCGCGTCCCGCGTGTGCGCCGCAAGAAACCGGAGATTTACTTTATTGGTGGATATTAAAAACGGATCATTGTGGAATTCACCACGCTCAAAGTTTGCCACAGCCTGTTGATATAAATTTTATCTTATTCCGTAGTAGGTATGAAGATTCTCCTAAATTTAAATTCGAATGACAAAGTTTTTAGATTGCAATAAAAAAGGCGATGTTCTATTAGATTTTTTTGTATTAATTTCTTGTTGATCTCGTATCGATAAAAATGCGTTAAGAAAAAATCACATGTAATTGTAAAAGATGGAGAATTCAAAAAAAAAAAAAAACACATACCTATATTATTTTTAGGCTGCGGTCTCGGTCTGTCGAACCGTGTTAATAATTGCGTCTTATCTCCGTCGATATCTAACCGTTTTTATCGTAAATCTAATTGTTTATGGCGGCTGGTAACATTGTCGCGATACCATCTCGGTTGGCGCGGTGCGTGCTCCATTTTTTCGCGGTCCTTTTGGATTTTCTGAATGTATTGGGTCATTTGGATTCGGTACTCTTTGACGGGTTTTTAATATGGTGGCGTTAAATGTGAAATGCAGACGCGATTTTGTGTTCTTTGCCTCGCGCCTTTTTTATTGTTTTAATGTTTTTTTTTATTCTATGTTTATTTTAAAGTTTTGTATTGTGCTTTTCATCTGGGGCATACGTATATAGCAATGCAATGCAATAGAACTACTCAAATGATTAACATTTTATTGCATTTCATGAGACAAGGCCCATTTATAGACCGAATTACTGTAATATAGTTTCGTTGTCTCTTTGGCTGAATTTATTATTAAAAGTTTAGCTTTCATGCCTAGTTCAGACTTGGCGCTGTTAAATTAATATGTTAAAACTTTGATGAGCCAATAAAAACTAAGTTACTAACGTAGAAAAACTTTAAATAAGACTATTTAAAGGCAACAATATCACATCCTACAATAGTAACAACATTAAGTTCGTATTTGCTATTTGTAATCTTGACAAGAGTCTGTCCTTATCATGCTTTATAAGGAATGAAAAGGAGAGACTCAGATATTAAGTTTACAAATAGCAAAGTGAAGCGCCGGAATGAGAAAGAATTTTTAATTCGCTAACTGTAATACAAACAGTCTACAAACAAATTGCAGCATCAATCTAAAAACAGGGGTCAAGAGCGAGCCAGACTTGCTCATGAAGGGTTCCCTAGCAGCAAGTACCTAACATAATATAAATGTTCGTGTAGTACTTTGATCGAAGGTTTAATAATAGTTTATTCTTTAAATTAATTATTTATGACGTATTAAAAAAAGGTAGTAACTATATCTCGTTCAAACCAATTTTCGGTGGAAGTTATACATCATATATATATATTTTTTAGTTTTATTTACATTTATTTTATTTTAGAAATTACGGGGGGGGGGGGGGGTCAAACATTTTACAACTTTGGAAGTGAATCTCGCACAAACTATTCAGTTTAGGAAAAATGATATTAGTATAATTAAAAAAAAATGATTTGAGTTTCAGTTCTAGTGAAAATCTTAATGCGGTTCGCAGAATACATCTACTTACCAAGTTTCAACAGTATAGTTTTTATAGTTTCGGTAAAAAGTGACTGTGACATACAGACGAACAGACAGACAGACAGAACAGGCATGACGAATCTATAAGGGTTCTGTTTTTTGTCATTTAGCTACGGAACCCTAAAAAATGGTATAACAAATGTTCCTTCCAAAGTCAAGTATAGACTTGCCTATCCAGTAAGCTCGCTCGCGTACACTCCTCCAGGCTAGTGCACTTGCCCTACGTAAACACCCGCCCGCCTAATGGTGTCCCGCCCATCTGTGTTACGTCTATGTATGTATATAAAGGTAGACACCGGCTAATGTGCCGTACCCACGTAGGTAGCTATACGACATTGGGGGTTTGTGGTTATTGTGTCGGAAGCGTTATTTGTCCATTCTTTTATACTTTGAACTGTTATCAGTCGAAAAAATATAGTAATTTACCTTGTTTTTGCGAGTCATCGATATAACATAGCACAAGGCACATGGTAGCAATCCCCCTGATTACGTAAATTAATATAATGCCAGTGACCACGAAAGTTAAACTTAAATGTACCTTTGTTAAAGAAATAAAGAAAGATAATGTTTTATTCAGTAACACAAATAAATACACGAAACATTATACCTTATACTACTTATTATTTGACGACCTCTGTGGCCGAGTGGTTTGTACGCCGGGTTTTATGGTGTCGCCGACTCGAGAGGTCTCCGGTTCGAATCCCGGTGGGGGCAGATGTTTGTGTGATGAACACGAGCATTTGTACTCCAGTCATGGATGTTTAATATGTATTTCTATATAAATATACTTATATATGTACACAAGCCTTACAGTGCTTACTTTGGGGCTAGGCTAATTGGTGTGACTGTTGGAAATATTTATTTATTATTTATTTTATTTATACCTAAATACAATTAATTTAGATCTACTATTAGCGTCACTGAAAAGGCAGTCCACTCAGCTTGTGTCGGATGTCGTATACTGTCCGACGGTGGTCTTTCGTGGTTACCTTAGAAAGTAGGGATGAGACTACTACCAATAGCTACCTACGATATTAGAAACACGAATTTATGAGTTACCTCATATTGAGGTCATTTTTCAATTTGACGACTCTGTATATAATACAAGGAGAAAAAAACAGCCCTTGCTGAGTTTCTTGTCGGTTCTTCTCAGTACAAGATCTCCCGCCGTAGATTTGGAAACCGATGGCGTAGCTTTTCGACATTCACAAGTGCTTGTAACAGCCTAGACTGAATAAACGATATTGATTTTTGAATTTTTTGATTTTTGAATGTTATTAGAAAGAAAGAAATAAAAATGTTTATTGGCCTAAAACATTAACAGTATCCCTAGCACGAACCAAAATCGAATTCGTAACGTTTGCGAATCCGAAATGACGTTGTCAAATGTGTACTGATTTTTAGTTCCCGTTACGTCCAAAGTGGCGTTCAGTTCACTTTCAGGCAGTTCAAGTTTCGAATTCGATAATCTTTCACGCTAGGGGTACAGAAGAACATACATTGAATAAATATAGAAAAAGTAAATAATAAAGTGAAAAAATATAATAAAAAGGAAAGGCCAGTGTAGGTGGCTGCCTCAGCCTAAGGGGCCGTCCATATATTACGTCATTCTAAATTAGCGGGGGGGGAGGGGGTTGATCTGCGGATGGCGGTAAATGATAGATAGGGGGGGGGGGGGGGGTTTGTTGAAATTGACGTCATTCTTATTTATTTATTTATAGTTTATTGTTCACGTACAAAAAGATTATTTCTAAAAAGAAATTTCTTCCAGCACACCTAGTAAGTGAGACTGCAAATGTGAGAGGCGGCTAAGGCGCGTACAATACTAAAATAACTCATAATAAACATACATAATGCAACATAGATGTACACAAATACAGTAATAACTACAGATAAAATACTCTAACAATAATATTACATATAATACTAGCTTTTCTCAAATCTGCAATGTTTTAATTTTGTCAAACTGGTAATGACGTCAATTTTGGGAGAAGGGGGGGGGGGGGGGGTCATTAAGAAATGACGATAGGATGATTGTAGGGGGGGGGGGGTCTAAATTCTGAAAAAATCGATGACGTAATTTATGGACGGCCCCTAAGCTGTTACGACTCTTGCTGCTGTTACGGCATAAGGCCGCTGCAGCGGTGATATTCTGGCCCCCTCTTAAATTTTTACAAATAAAACAGACGAGGCTTCACTCAGAACCCACACGCAAAATGCAACTCAAAATTAGGTTGTCTTAAGATATTTTCTAGTCTACATTGTTGCCAAACCCTATAAAGGTTCTAACTTAAAAATTAAAAAAAAGCTTAAAAAAGAGAAAAAAAAGAAAAAAAAGAAGAATAATTTTATTTATTAAATATTTTTTTTTTTATTAATATTTTTTTATTTAATTTTTTTAATTTTTAGAAGCTTTAAAAATTACCCATTATATTTAAGGTTATTTCGTTCGAGTGTTGCGCTGTAATTTAATAGACCCATAATTACACATTCATACATTCACGTATAGAAGTCATGATGAAATTAATGTAATTAACAGATTTTGAGCATTACTAGATTTATACTTTATGGACTACGAAACTAGAAACTTTAAATAACATTGTAAACATTAAAATACTCACGCATTTTTGCATCGCAATCGTAACGTAATCGCTTCGCCTCGGGACAAGCTTGTGTATCTTCGTGAGGCGATTACGTTACGACTCCGATTAGTGTGCGTTGCAGTATAGAGTTTCATACAAAGAATGAAGAATGGCTTGAGTTGATATGGCGACGATCCCTTTCCAAGTTGTTATGTCTGCTACGACCTTAAGTCACCCACAGATCAATTCGTATCTTAGTTGTGTAGAACTTCTTTTCAATGCTACTGCGATCATTGAAGTTAAGCAACTTTAGCAATGGTCGGTCATCGGATGGGTGACCGAAAACTTATTTTCTCGAGTTTCTTCCATGCTTCGGAAGGCATGTTAGGTCCCGGCTGCATCTGCAGTCGGTAGCACCCACCAATTCACACTGGGCCCGCGTGGGACGGCCCGTTCTCCTTATTCCATCCATCGGGAAAGCCTGTGGCCCAGCAGTGGGGATATTAAAAGGCTGGTAATAATGATGATGCCTTTTCAACAGGATAAAGACTTGACCGACTCCAAGGAGTTGGAGTTGGCGAAGCAGCTGAGCGACTGCCTCTCCGTCGCCCTGGATGCTGTGCTGTGCTCATCCAGAATGCATGAAGAGAAGAAGCAGACGGGAGACGCGCTGGATATGCTGATCTTCCTTAGAGCACGAGCTCACACCCTCATCAGGTAAGTGGTGAATGTTATTTATTGAGACGTAGTTTATTACAAAATGTGTTGAATTTTCTCTAGGCTCTAGGTATAGCTAAAAATACGGGCCACGCTAGACCAATCAACGCGGAGAACGACTTACTGTGGCCACTATTCCTACACGAACAAAGAAATTTGGTGACTCATTTCTTTGTCGTATTATTCGTAAGTGGAATTCTTTACTCGCGCACGTGTTTCCTCCTTCCTTCGATCTGGAGTCCTTTAAGAGAGGCGTGAAGAAGCATGTTTGCAGGCCGGCGAGGTGAGGATGGTTGGTGTGACCTAAGATTAAAACAAAAAGGGTAGATACGGCACTAGTCTCACAAAAGTGATCCACACCAATTGTGGTCCACCACCCTAATCGCTTTAGTCACAACCTGACATGCAAGCGACGTACATGTGAACGCCAAAAAGAAATATTGCTAATATTTTGTGTTTATATGATAAAACATTGCCTAAGTGTGTTTTTAAAAAGTGCTCAAATTGCTCAAGAACTAAAAATAAAACCCACGGCATGACTTTTCATTCGTAAGTACTATAAAATATATTTTTTCATAAAAATTGCTGTTCGTTTTGAATCTTATTCGGTGGTGACGTCGAGTACTGGTCGCGTGATTGGTCGGTAATGCAGTGACGCGGATCTCGCCGTCTCGTTCGCGCTGCCGTTGAAACTTAACGTGCTGTTTCGTTCGGGTCGGTAATGCAGTGACGCGGATCTCGCCGTCCCGTTCGCGCTGCCGTGGGATCAGTTTTTGTTTGATGCAAGTATGAGCGTACCGTATCTACTTTTTTTGTTGTAATCTAAGGGTGTGGCAGTTTAAACTGCTGCACCAGCTATCTTCGCGTTTGGACTTATCACCACTTAACATCTGGTGGGGTAAAGTCATTTGAATACCTGGCTATAAAAAAAAAAGATCTTGAAGGGGAAGGATGGGTGCTATGCTCAGCAGTGGGCGTTGTATGGTGGATAATAATGACAGCTAAAAATAATCTATTCCAATAAGTTTTTAACTATACTACCATGTAAGATCCTGGTCTGTCATGGCACTGATGCAAATGCCATTGTCAGAGTGCCATTTGCTTTAAATATCTCTCAACAAGTTTTTAATGTATGTGTTGCAGTTGTTTGAATTAAAAATTACAATATGTAAATACATAATATAAACAGTGCGGCGCGGCATCAAATAACATCAAAGCAATAAGTAAATTTTTGATCTTTGAAAAGTCAATTGCACAATTTAACCGAGAATCGACACCCAGCAGATGTGATGGAACAGAATTTATAATATCCCGTAAAAGTATTATAGCTATTAACGGGATTGTTACCATGTACCTTGTTTTTTACGAGTTTCCGATATTTCGGCACTGTTGCAAGCGCCATGATCACGGAGTAACTGACACAGTTATGTTTTTATTTATTTTTAAGCATTTAACTGCTAGATGTTTAAATCTTAAGAAAAGTTTACTAGAAAACAAAAATCCACGCGGACCAGGCAGCGGACGGGACTCGAACCCGCACCCTTCGCAATCCGGGCGAATGCACTGACCATTATGCTACCACGGCCCTATTGGCCGCGTTGAAATTTTCCTAGCCTTAAGGTGCAAGGCAGCGCCATCTCTTCGCATTGTAGGTTACCCACAATGTCAAATGAATACTTTTTCAAGTAGGTATTAAACATTTGAAAGAAGAAATAGCAATTATAGTTATGTTTTCATTTATTTTTAAGCATTTAACTGCTAGATGTTTAAATCTAAAGAAAAGTTTACTAGACACAGTTATTGACAACTGACACAGTTTCTCTTGCAACAGTGCCGAAATATCGGAGATTTGTAACAAGGTACATGGTAACAATCCCGTTAAAAGCTATAATGTTAGTGACCATGAAAGTTTATAACAATATCCCGTAAAATTAGTCTATTGTCCTTTTATAGCAATTTTTCCACAGCACAATACGAATAAGTTGCATTTTCTCCGCAATCGTATGAGTGTAATATTACCGCTGTCGGATCCAACTGTGTCAATATTTGAGGTGTCGTGTGTCGGCGGCGCGCGGAGATGCTGTGTGGTCCTGCCTGCTTGTGTGTTTGTTTGTTTGCGGCCAATCGATACAGAGTTTTGCGGGGGATGTCAGACACACAAGACAGTGTTTGTTTTGTCCGTCTTGCGGGCGAATTCAAAGGATACACGTTAGGTCCAATGCAAAGAAAATTTAAGTTGAATTTGTTCGTTTTTCTTTTAATATAAAATGAAGTACATACTTAAATTTAAAGTTTTCTTTTACTAGATTTAAATTTACTCAGTCCAGGGTTTAGACGGGATTCGAACCTGTCCGCCGCCTGGATAGCGGAAGATGCGAGTAAGAATCCGGCTTAAACACCGACCGAGTTATTCTAGTTAAATTTTCTTGTAAGATTTAAACATCCAGCAGTTAAATGCTTAAAATATATTTTTTATATAAAGTAAGCACTTAGTTTGTCATATTTCGCTTTCAGTATTAAACAGCTTGGTTTAAAAATTTGCAGATTTTTTTTGCCACAAAGTATTCCAAGTGTCTGTTAGGCTTGTTACGAGACGTTAATCATCATCATCAGCCTGTTATTGTCTCCACTGCTGGTGCACAGGCCTTCCCTATGGATGGAATCGGGAGATAGGGCCATGACCCACCACGCGGGCCCAGTGCGGATTGGCGGGTGCCAACGACTGCAGATGTAGCCGGGACCAACGGCTTAACGTGCCTTCCGCAGGAGGAACTCAAGATAGCAGATTTCTGGTCACCCATCCAAGGACCGACCATTGCGAAAGTTGCTTAATTTCAACGATCGCAGCCGAACGCGCTAACCACCTGCGCCTTCGAGCTCCTCGTTAATGGCTGTGTCTTACTTTTTTTCTAGTATATTTTGTTAACTTGTAATTATAACATCTCTGTACTATCTCAAATTTCTGCACCATTAAGTCAGTGCCCATTTTAAATAAATAAATAAATATGTCCGACACTCACACCAATTAGCCTAGCCCCAAAATAAGCACTATAAGGCTATGCTAGGGTATCTGAGCTGACGCTGGTTTTCAACTAGACCCTGGATTATAAACTATTATCCGTGCGGTGACGGAGAAAGAATACAACTCACCGCCCCTTCTCTTCCCGTGGGTGTCGTAAGAGGCGACTAAGGGATATCGGAGCTTCCATCCGCTCTGCTGGTGGTAGGGTGCCTAACACCCGCCTGGTTTGTTACCACCGTGCGCATGGTGAAAAACCCGTGAAGTGCTTCCGGCGCGTTTCGGGGTCAGCCAGCGTACAACCAGGGCTCGAGTGGAGGTTGTCGCGACGGATTCGGTCCAGGGCTAGGCATCCGTGGAACCGATGCCGGGAGGACTGCATCGACCCGCCGGCCAGGGAGACCCGTAGAAACGGCTGTCCCGCTGGCCGCCCGTGGCACAGTACAGGGGCCCGAGCGTTCCTAACCAGTTCGCGAGGCTGCCCCATCATGTCACGCATAATCTCGGGGTGGACCGTCGTGCCGGTTGGTGACCGGGGCGTGGGGTCCCGGCGGCCACTTCCGGGGGGGTGCGGGGGCCCTTCCGTCCGGCGGGTCGGCGTATATCCTCTGCAGGCAATCATTCGGGGAAACATGCCTCCCTAATTTGCCCGGTCTTGTCGCGACAACGTCCACTCGTTTCACGTCTCTTTTTCACTTCCATAATGGCAGCTCCTAAAACAAAGTTTGGACGTTCAGCGGTGCACACCCCCACGCCTTCAACGCTGTTTGAGGTCGAGTTCTGCAACATACGCGGACTCCACTCTAACCTCAACGCTGTCCACCACCATCTTGAGACAGCACGGCCAGCATTGTTGTTCCTGACGGAGACACAAATACTTCCGCCTGCTGACACAGGCTACCTTAATTATCCCGGCTACGTGCTTGAAGAGTCCTTCAAAGCGAAAGCCGGTGTATGCCTGTATGTTCGGGCGGATGTTTGTTGTCGCCGTCTCCGCTGCTTGGAAGATCCCTCCTTCTCCATGCTGGGGGTACACGTCGACTCTGGCCCCCTGGCCAGAGTTTACGTGTGTCTCTACAGATCCCACACCGGCGATGTTGAGACAACTCGACTTTTTGAACACCTTAGTCGGGCAGCAGATGACGCGCAGGAACAATTTCCCAATGCAGAATTGGTGTTTTTGGGGGACTTTAATGCTCACCACAATTTGTGGTTAAGTTCCTCCAAAACTGACCATGCAGGGATCTCTGCTCACGCATTCGCTCTCACGCATGACTTGAAGCAACTGGTTGATCAGCCCACCAGGATCCCAGATATTCCAAGTCAAGCGCCTTCTTTACTGGACCTTCTGCTCACGACCCATCCACAGGGCTATCAGGTTGTGGTAAGAGCCCCCCTGGGCTCGTCAGACCACTGCCTGATATCTGCCAAAGCACCACAGGCCAAGCCTCCGCGTCCAGCAGTGGTCAAGCGCCGTATCTTGCATTATGGGTCGGCAGATTGGGACGGTATACGTGACTACTTTGCGTCCATCCCTTGGAAGCAGCGCTGCTTCAGTGACAGGGACCTATCGGCCAGTGCCGTTGCCATTACTGAGGAGATTATAATGGGTATGGAATACTATATTCCTCATTCTGATCTCATCAGTAAGGGCACGCGTAACCTCTGGTTCAATCACGACTGTGCTGAAGCTGCTTCGCGTAAGCAAGCGGCATATCGTGCTTGGATCAGAGGTCGCGCTCTCAAGGATCCCGAGGTCGATTCACTCAAAGCAGCCTACAATTTTGCTTCCAAGGCCTGTAAGAAGGCTTACATTAGAGCGGATGCCCAGCGCGTTGCACGTGTTGGCCAGGAACTTATGACGCATCCTACGGGTTCCCGTAGCTACTGGCGTCTGGCCAAGGCCGTGCAAAAAAACTTCTGCGAGCCCTCGCTGCCACCTCTGAGATGCCCAGACGGAACACTAGCCCATAAGCCGCAG